AAAAAAACATAATCATGCGGGGGATTTTATGCTTTGGTGAACGTGTCTGTGCAGAAAACCTCCCACTGAGTTGTGCACGTGTGAAAGGCAAACTGCAGGCAAACTCCGTAGTCAATTCTCCGGACTGCCTTTTATGATGCTAATCTTAAAGGCCTATATAATTCGAAATACTCTCACACTGAAGACATGTGGGAACAAGACGTTGATGTGACCCTGCTCACATTGGATCTGTTTTCTAATCACATTTACTTCCTACCCATTTGTGTCCACTAAGTTGTCCATCATGATCTCAATCTTGATTGACAGTCATCTGGGACAGCCATCTTGTGTCTCTACTGACCATACGTATGACAATTGATAAATATTTAATATGTACTCACACAGTAGATATGTAACAAAACAATAGTCCCTGTTCCATACAAGGTGACATTTGGCATATATAGAATATACTATCACTTTACACAAGTTAAGTATTGTGATGTTCCCTTAACTTTTTGGTGCTCTGACTCTTTAACTCAGTGGATTAAAGTTAAGATGTGTCCTCAAATGTAGAATCCTATTTGAATCAGTGACTAAAGAGATCATTTAAGGAAGAACCTGGTTTCATTTTATTGATTATGTGGGGGCTCTATCCCTCCTTGCAGCTTGGTGTCACATTTTGTGCATGAGTTGATGCTCTCACCTGATTTTTTTCTTTCTTTCATTTCTACACTTCCTGTGCTCCTTCTCTCCACAAATATAAATATTCTATATATGCTTACATGTTTCTGACAGAAGCAAACCATTGCTTTTAATTTCAAGTGCAGTTTCATTCTGTTGCACACATATTCAGATGGCGTCTTCTTTTAATACAATGCAGGTTTTCTATGTTGTTCTGTGTCTGTTATTACAGCAATTTATCTAATCTTATCCGGTTTAGTAGAAACATTATGTAAAAAGAGTGTTCAAAACAATGACAGAAACACAGTCACACCATCTTAACTTTGTGTTGCATAAGCCCTTCTGAGCAATGATTGGCTGATGGTCTTGTTGGTGTCACAGTTTTAGATGCTTTACTCTGTTTCTAAAGAACACACCAAGAACTATTCGATATTAATACATAAATATTTGATTTCGGTCATCTGAAGTACATTTCATCCCTGACCTGAGATTAGAAGACACAGACTTCATCTGCCATAATAAGAAATTGTGATATTCCGTGACTGACAGTCTGGTGAGTTTACTGTACTGCTGTTTGTCCAGCACTGTTCAGTGCAAAGAGAGATTGAGTGAGTTCCTTTGTTCAAATGCTGCCTATAGCTGTATATTTGCACACCCCTCTGTGTCATCACTGTGTCATTTGCTCTGTTTATCTACTCAAGTGTCAGTGCTCTTGCTGCTCTCGTGTCACAGTGCTGAAATGAAGCCCTTTCTCCTCGCAGGCACAAATTACAAGTCCATTAATTCACTATCTTACTCACTGCACGTAGTCTCCGCTGACTTGGCACTCTGTGACCCTGATTGGCAATTAATTTTTAAAGGGCGTACATGGCTCGTGGTGGTTCCCCCTTGATTTGAAGTACTGTGTCGACCCTATGGTGCCAGTATAGGTATTCGAAGAAGAGAAATTCTGTTTTCATTTCCCTCTTCCTCCCTGCGTCTGCACAAGTATGTCTACCATTCATTACTGATGGGGGTTTAATCACAAAACGCTCTGTTTCACATCCAATCTGATATGGCTCCATTGCAAAGTGCTCACATCTTAATCTTCTCTTTCATCCTCTACTCAAAAGGATTTCCAGAAATTTGGAGAACATATATTATCTATCTGTCTGTCCTTATTTTCTCCTCAAAGTGTGTTTAGGAAGATTTTTATTGAAAGGCTCTATCTTGATTTTATTTTAGTGGATATTACAGCAGTTTGGGCGTCATGGTAGATGCCTAGTGTTTTAAAGGTCCATGCATTTGGACTTGCATGTGGGTTGTTTGAGTTATTTATTTTACAAGCTTTGTTTCGGTCATCACATCTCTCCTGTTCACTTTCTGGTGCAGTGAACTGCTTCTTAGCAGCACCTCATTTCCAGCTGTGCTGTGCATCATGTCAATGTGAGGATAACTGAAAGGCCTGCTGTTTTGGAAAAGCTGAACTGAGACAGTAAACCTCTCCTAAGAAATGTGTCCTCACTCTGTCTCAGAACAGACACTTCATCCTCCTCTTAAAAAACGAGATTAACTAACTTCCCTCTATATTTCTTTTTTATTCGCGTCTCAACAGCTGCAGGCCAGACTGTGGTGAAAATGTGGCATCGACATTAATGTTTATTGAGAGTAAGCTCTCAGTGTTTGGGATATTCAAGGAGATTTTCTGCAAGAATCACATCATATCACAATTACCTGATGCTGCTATGGATAAAAAAGGATGCTAATAACAATAAGGTGCTATTTTAGTTAATCAAAAATGTATTGGTCGTAACCCAAAATGTCTTTGTTGGTAGTGTTTATCACAATAATGTATGTTCAAGTGCTTAAGTTTTAGATAAGTTGAGTTTTAATTAGTTATTTGATGTTGTAAAAATGGGATGAGACATCTTAAATAGACTAGATTGATAGATTGGTTAGGTAAGTGTGTGATACCATGGCTCCACTCAATGATCACTTCTGTGCAGACTGGCTCCACTGTCACCAGTGTAATATGGCAGCACCGTCTGAAATATGTTTGCTTCATTCTCTTCCTGTATCTACAATCTATGGTCATGTGGTAACTATGGTAAGTGTATTCACCTCAGAAGAGACAACAAACATCGCAGTTTATCATTTAGAGACTTAAAACTGAGAGTAATTAGTCCAGTGTTTGTTCTGCCATCTATGTTGACCAGGAAATGTCTAAAAGAAATGCCAGTCATGTATTACACACTCTGGGAGATGTTCTATCTTCTCCTTCTCTGTTGTCTAACACTATTCCAGATATATTTTTGAAATAACTGTAATGATGATCTCTGCAGTAGCGATGATGACATCTCTGTATAATATAGCCTACAGAGTTTACTACAACCAATATCAAAATGAATAGTATGAGAGAGTTTTGCTTTGCTCGTCCTCCTCCTCACTACCACCTCTCGTCTTATCCATCATCCCACCACATCATTATAAGTCTTTGCATCTGCCTCCAAAGCCCCTGCAAACCCGGCGTAGACAATGGGCTCCTCTCTTCGCTGGCGAAGCCTTTCATGAGTTCGCTATGTAAATCAGGCTCGGCTTCTTTATACCGGACTGATTTCACAGGGATGGCATGGAGCCACTAGCTGGCTAGCTAGTCAGAGGTCATTTGTTCCAGCGAGGTTTCATGTAAAATGCAACAAGACATGAGGTACAAAGGCAGCAGAGTTGGACCTGTGGTGCATGTCCGCCAGACAAGCCCGGGCAACAAGAGAAGAGAGTGCTGTGAAAAATTTAACCACCCGCTGTTCTTTAGAGTAGCACTGGTGGAGACAGAGAAAATTAACCAACTACCCTCCCTGTGGGAGAGATGGGAGTGTGGCCTTGATTGAACTTGAGTGGTCTTTGAGCAGATGAATTATGAAAGCAGAGGAGTTTTTCCAAGACAGCTGAGCAGGAGTACAAGTATCATGTGGTGGGGTTTTATCAAAGTTTTATTTGTGTATGCTGAAGCTCTCAAAATTCACTCTGAAGCCGTTCTGTAGTTGCAATGTGAGTGGGGCCCTTTGGGTGTGTGTGTGTGTGTGTGTGTGGCCTAGGTTTACCAAGGTAGCATGCTGGTGGCTCCAGCTTTCCGTCAAAGCACGTTTGGATCGCAGTAAA